CTGAATGGCTCATTTAATTGTTTTTCAAAAGATTACATAGAATGAGACAGTTTTCTCACTTACCTCTTCCCACACAAGTTATTATCTCAATGCCCAAGTCAAATCTAAGAAGAACCACAAGGTGGTTTTGTTAGGCTCACATTATCCTACAAGCACATGGTAAGAGTTCTAAATTAACAGCGCACATCAACACACAAAAAATAAACTTATCAGGGCAATACTTTCTCTAAACGTACAAAGCAGCTGCCATAATAGTGCAGATCTCTTGCCTGATGCCTCTGCTTACCCCTGTAACAAGCACATGTATACTACAGAATGAGGGGGAAAGGGAGGCACCTCCCACACATCACAAGCTATTCACCGTGTAACCTGGTTATCAGAAATGCTGGGAACTTCTAGGGAAGAGACATAGAAATGTGGGAGGAGAGATCTAGTAGGAGGTTTTCCACACATTGCAGCTGCTTCCTAAACTACATTTGTTCATCTCTCTCTCTCTCTTTCTCTCTCTATCTATCTATCTAATCTATCTATCATGTAAACCAGTAATGAGGTCTTGAAAGGTCAGTGTGCAATCTCCTCCCAGTAGGCACTTGCCAGATAAGCAATGCTTTACAAATCCACATTAACAAATGAGCAGCATTTTGTAACCATCCTCAACATTTCCATGAAACAGCTCTGGCAGCTGTGGTTTCTTCTAGATGAAAAGCATTAATCCACAGGGGGTTCAGAGAGCACAGGCTTGTTTCTCCATCCCATCAGTGCAAGTGTCCTAGTGTTTTCAGTTTGAACTGGTAGAAGATAGGAATATTATGAAATCTAGAAGCTAATAATCTATGAGCAAAGATACTCAGACCTCCTTGAAACCCAGGCGAGATATCCCAAGACACAGTTCCTGTAATACACAGACAGCAGCCTCACTGAGTCAGTGAATCATCTAATTTTAACCTGCTGACAAGTCTACAGGGTCAGCAGGAACACTAGGGCTACACCAACTGACTTACTGTGCAATTAGGTTGAATCACGTAATTGCTTTCTTCCTCATTTTACATATTTGCAAAGCAGAAGGAAATACAACACACATCTCTCAGGGAAAAAGTGGGGATAAACTCATTATTTGGAGAGCACCTCGATGATCCTCAAGTCATGGAAGTGCTGAGTATAGATCAGCAAGCATTTAAGGTAAAGAGCTTAAACGGGGTAAAAAGGAGAAAGGTCTCCGTGAAGATTGTGTTGAAACCCATGAAAACATAGGTTGGAGTACTACTCCTATATGCTTAACAAAGGGCCCTGCAGAACCTGCTAACTTCCCTCAAGACAGATGAGTCTCAGCCAGCGCTGGGAGTTGAGCCCAGAATCCCATTTGTAAGGGCAGTGCTCTAATCAGATGAGCAACACCACCCTCTGGCAGGAGACCCCATGCTGGTGGTTTCTGCACTGTGGGAGGTGATCTCGTCTCTGGTGATGCATGTTCCTGTCTCCTGAAGCCAAAGCGTTCTGCTCTGGCCAGCAGTGACAGCACTTTTGAGAGCTAAATTAATACTCAAGGCTTCCACTCCCACTTCCAAGTTTCCTCTTTCTCCAGAGCCACTGCTTGCAGCTTGGAATCTTTACAGGCCATACCAGAACTCCAGCCTAGGCTGGGTGCTGTGATACCTTAATGAGATAGAAAAGGCACAAGCCACAGGAACAGGGTCAGGAAGCAGTGAGGATCTGTGTCACACATGAGACATGCATTGCAGACTACTTTCTGTCTGTTGGTTAGAGGTTAAAGGTATAAGAAGAGAGCAGCTTCACCAGCTGAGCTAGAGCATCATAAGCTTTCCTGTATTATAATTTTACCATCAGGTGCTGTTCTGTTGCAGAAAGACTTCATGCTAACATTGTCCATTATCGGTTAAGTAAGAATGACCTACACATTAGGCTTTTTGATGTATCCAGCTAAACAGAGTTATATTTGAGGACTTGGTGATTTTGGCCATTTGTGTTTCCTTCAGCCTTCCCCTTACCTCGCTGTAACAGTGAGAAACACTTGTCTTTTAGAAACACCTTGCCTGTGTACATCCTGTGCTCTGGGCAGCCAAAATGTAACCCTGACTGGCCCTTGTTAAACAGGATCCTTCAATTTGAGTATCACTTTATGATGCTGATAAAAAAATGCAGTTTCAGGCTTTAAAATGTGCCCACCAGAATAAAAATATGCTCCATATGCGATGTATGCAGTTATGCTTGGACACATCTAGTGACAGCCTTTTCCTGACTCTGGAAGAACCATCAGAACAGTTCTGACTTCACCAACCCAAGGAGAAATTTCAAGAGAAACATTTCCTATACCAGTATAACACCTAAGATAAACAACTGCACAACAATCTATAAACAGTGGGATATAGATGGCAAACAGTCACTGTTACTCTAAAGGGGGATGATGATTGTCATTTATATCTATTACAAGATAAGAACACAGTTGCATCAGAAATAGAAGTCAAACTTTGAAAGAAGATTGGAAACCTGTAACAAAGGCCTTAGCTCAGTTGTTTTCCTTGCAACACACAACCTGAGACAGACAATACAAAAGGTTGCCCTTTGAAACAAGGTGAGGATAAAGGTTAGCACGAGGAAGGACTGCACAGGAGCATTAGTGCTGTGAAAGATGAAACCTTAGAAAGCGGTTTCTGAATGGGTTGAGGTTAACACAGAACCTAAACCACTCACAACACAGAAACCAACATTTAGTGGAGAAGCGATTCTGGTGAGCAAATGATTGACTGAATTTTCACTTTCGAAGGGGAAAAAATCCTCAAGTGTAAAGTACGGACAAGGCAAGTCCCTCTCTCTCATCTGCCTTTCCCACTCCGTCATCTTCTCCTTCAGCTAGGAGGTTGGGATCCTGTGCATTTAAAATGCGATAAAGGTGGGAAATAAAAATGTAGACGAAGGACTCCCCTGATCAGTACATGGAGACTGCTCATCCTGAACACAGACTGTTGAAGAGAGACGTGCTTTGGATACAGCTGCACTATCAGTTCTCCAAGTTCAAAGTTAAAAAAAACAATGGATGTGAGGATGCAGTTCAGTTACCCAGCATCCCTTCAAGCAAGTCCTTTTCCTCACAGGAAAAGTACATGTGTAGCTGTGAATGTTTGCTCTCTCTGGCAATCTGAATGCACTGATCTCTGGGACAAAGGTTTAGCCGAAATGTAGAAAGGAATGATCAGAAGAAAGACCCCTAGACCTGGTATTCTGTAGAGGGAGTGCTTCCTACAAGATTCTTCCCTTCCTTGGTAATTCCTGATCTTGAACTACTTACCTGTTACCTGACATTTCTTAAGAGAAATGATTGCAGCAGCAGCAACTTGGGACTCTTCAGAATTCCTCCTCCAGAACTGTGTATTAGAGCCAGCTGTAGTGTAGAAAAAAAAAACCCAAACCAAACAAAGCCACCTAAGACTTCCTTCAGAAAGTTGCATTTGTTATCAGCTCTACTAGAAATGAAACTTTCTGGCAGTATAATTGCTATTGCTTCAGAGCTACATTTCATCAAAGGAATAGAAACCACAGAGCAAAATATCAAAGTACTTCATGGTCTACTCAGAGGCAGAGAGTGAAAACGATTTAGGTCAGACAGAGCCTAGGGCAGCAGCTTTCCATGTCCCTTTTCCCTGCAACTATGACCATTGCAACAGTCCCATTGCATCTCTTTGTTGCTTAACACAAGGAGATGAGGACAATAGTCTACTGGAAGCCCAGTGTAGGCTGTTCTCTCCTACAGCTGTCAAGTGCAGTTTGGTGAATCAGTGGATTTGCTCCCTTCCTTGAGCTGGTTCAATGGGATTGTTGTACTCACAGAAACCAGTGGCTGTTTTAGTGGGAAAGGTATGAAGTGGGAGTTTTATCAAGGCTCATTCTTGAGTCAATACTAGTCAGCATTTTAATTAATTTAGGGGCATACATATGAAATGCTGAGAAGTGGCGTGGGCAGACTGCAAGTGCTTTGGAGGAGAAAAAAGTCCTGCCAGATTATTAAGATGTATTAAAAAATTTAAACCAGTAAGGTTAAGATTGATACAATGTATTAAAATCTAACACTACAGGGAAAACCAACATTGTAAATCAGTGGCTGCACTATTAAAACAATTACCTTTGGAATGATTTAGCTACAATAGAAAAGAACAAAGTGCAATTCTTGTAATCAGCTCACTCTGCTACAGTTCCAGTGTGAATCCTCCTCTGCTCCTTGTGAGGAGCACAGAACTGCACTGTCACATTCTCATGAATGAAATAATTGAAAGTTGGCTGCTTCTGAACTAAAACTGCAGCAGTGAGTGAAATGAGAAGGAAGTGGTTGGAAAATAGTGCGAGAATGGGAGCAAGTGCACCAGAAAAAAAAACAACCAATATGGGATGAACGCCCCTTAATCAGAGTGCTCAACTTGTGCGTGTCTTTTTTTGGGGTGGGAAAACCATGTTAACCAGTGACATACTCCAAGTGATACCAGATGGCTGGTGAACAAATGCACATTTTTTCAGCTCTGTTTCATTAAAAATCAAGATCCCCCTAAAACATAAATGTCTGTTCACGTTATTAAGTATTCTAGATCAGCAAAACATCTTATAAACCTTAAAGACACAACAAAATTTCCATTCCTTTGTTCTCTCATGAGTGAGGTGTAAGTTATATTACTTTCTTTAGTGACTAGGCTTACAGATTTACCTGAATTACTCTAGAAATGCCTAGCATGTACGACCCAAGCACCTTTTCAATGTTTTAAAAACATTTATGGAATCATAGAATGGTTTGGATTGGAAAGTACCTTAAGATCATCCTGTTCCAACCCAATGCCATGGGCAGGGACAGCTTCCACTAGAGCAGGTTGCCCAAATGCCCGTCCAACCTGGCTTTATGTTCTGCAGTTTCACCTTCCCTCCTAATGCTATTTAAACATATACAGTTCAATCTTCAAGTATGTAAGTGATTTTTGACAAAAAGATTCATGAATTCTCAATAAGGTGTCAAAACTTTATTGAGTTCACTTGACATCTGTGAGGATTCATGCAGAATATTAAAAAAGATCAGTTCCTTTTTAATCTTCAAGTACAGCAAGTTTTCTGGTGTCATTACAGCATTCGCATTCTTTTTCATGCAGACATTTTTGGTACAAACAGAATGTAGACCAAAGAGTAACTGTAGGAAATCACTGAGGTAAAAATGTCTCTAATAGTATTTTAATCCTTTACTAGACAAGGCATTGAACGTTTTTTCCTATAATGGAAAAAAGAAGACAGGTGTTTTATCCATAGCTTTATTTCACCAGGAAGGTTTATACAGTTCTGCATAAAGGTCATTGTATGTGCAGCCTGAAGTACAAAGCTCCCTTTGGAAACTCCAGCACAAAGACACTGCATATTGACAACATTAAACAGCAATGTGGGTGGTATAAGGTGAAAAAAACCAGATTAAAACAAAACAGCATTCTTCCTATTGAAAAAGCAGAATAAAACAAGGCACTTTCAGTAAATAAGTGAAGAACAGAAACAAGCTGTATCAAAGGTTCCACAGAACTGACCCAGAGCACTGTAACAAAATTCTGCAGTAATGAACAAGTAAAATACAAAAAGGCACTACATAATCCTCTCCCTGCAACTCCCCTTTCTCAACCGATTAGCCAACTGAACTTGGCACAATGGAGTTTTAATTATAAAGTGCATCTCCTGTCTTAATACATTTTGAAAAATAGGCTATAGAACACATGTAGGATTATCCCCATGTGTACAATATATTGAAACAAAAATACATTGCAACTAGATTCAATCTAGTTATGAACTGTGCAGGAAAAAAATATGGCTTCTTTACAAGTCTTTCAATAACCTCCATATAATCTGGAATATTTTTAAACAAACATGAATGCATTAACAAGATGGTAAGAGGTAGTGTTCCAAGTAAAAGGCAAACTCACCAGTTTTATTATTACATGGGTATATAGCAAAGGTATCCCAGATTTTCAAAGCAGCATTACCAAACAAAAAGTATTACAGCATGCTCTCTTGGGATGAAAATACACAGTGTTTTGGGGGTCTCGTATTAATTCCTTCAGCAAAAATGACCAGGCTTCTTAAGATGTCCAAGTACAATCCCATTACGTAAGTACTCTTCTCTTGGTACTGTCAGGGTTCCTATTGCATTGGATTAAAATTTCCAGAGAAATATCTTTCAACTTTAGAATTTAAAACCAACATATTCTACACTCTTATTAAACAAAAGATGAGTCTGTTTTTACGTCAACAAACATTAATTTATGGCTATAAGAATACAAAAACACAAATATCGAACAGATGAACACATCAAGTGTGTCACATCGGTGGCAACAGATGACATGCTAGATGGCTGGCAATTCAAGGTGAAGCTTTTGTCACCCTGGTAGGGAAGTCAGCCAAATTGTGTATGTACACTATCTAAACTTCAGCTGATTTTAGCCCTTATTAGACTTTAATATATTAAACATATAAAGGCTAGATAAAAACTGAAATCAAAGCAGCAATCGGTATATTTCTTATGTTAATAATTTTGTAAAATTTATGTAAACATTCAATATGTGCATTCTTGCTCTTTGCTGTAAATTCCTCACAGCTACTCTATACCCTACCCAAAGAGTATGTCCCAAACGTGAAGCTTTCCCAGGTACCAGCAGCTGCTACTGATCTATTCTTCTTCATCAGCAGTATATGCTACTTCAGCAACTTCAATTTCTGGTACAGAATTTTCAGGCAAAGAGCCACTCCAGCATGCATCATGGTTCTCTTTATCTGAGCTGCAACAACAGATCAATAATAAGCTTTGTCAAACGGAAACTAACATGATTCTCCATAGTAATTTTATGCTGTCAATCCACGTAACATTTATAAAGCTTGTTCAACTTATCACTTACTCCAGATCTAAAATTGTCTATCCTGAAGGCCTTTATGCATCAGAGAGATGCATTAAAATGCTGAATACCTCAGCTGTGCATGATTCATGCAAGAGCAAGCATTTAAAAACATACTTTAAGAAAAAAGAAATATAAATAAAATAATAGTATTTACCAGCTCTCCTCACCCAGGGTCCCCTGGTCTGCTTCTACTGCAGAAGACTCCACCTCACCACTGCACTCACTTCCTTCTCCTGACATTTGACGAGTCATTTTTCCTAAAGATAAATCCCTACAACAAATAAGAAGAGAGTACCACCAATCCTTACTGCAAACATTCATCACTGAAAAGCTGTTTGGTTAATTTTAAACTTTGCAGTTTCTGGGAACATACCAATGTCACTCCTACATGTCTCATTTCTTTTATTACTACAGGGTGCAGGGCTTCCACTGGATAGCTATCTAAACAGTTTATTTGCTCCAGTTGCTTATTCCTAAACTAAATTAAATCCTCTGGTGGGAACACAATTTAGCAGCTTTACAAAATTCAAGTCCCACAGGAGTGATTATGACTTTAGATAAGAAATTGCAAGCAGATGAGATGATCTAAACCACACACGTTGCCTAAATGGCAGAAGGATTATAGCCAAAACACAGTCAGAAGGAAGAAAGCCAGTTTGGCAAAAAGATTTCTTAAACAATTTCCTAAGTTTCTCATTGTAACTTTATAGATTCACATACTAAATTTCAGAGTAGTACATTTTCCCATTAATAATCAACGGGAAGTTGTGGATGCTCCATCCCTGGAAGTGTTCAAGTCCAGATTGGATGGGGCTTTGAAGAACCTGGTCTAGTGGAAGACGTTCTTGTCTATGGCAGGGGGCCTGGATCTAGATGAACTGTAAGGTCTCCTCCAATCCAACCCATTCTGTGATTCTATGCTCAAGAAAACTTTTTCTTAACTGCAACACACGTTGGCAGCCTGACTTGCCTCGCTACAAACAGAAATAGGGGTGTGCAAAACTTAAAAAAAAAAAAAAAATATATATATATATAAACATATACATATATAAAATAAATTTGTTTCCAAAGTATTGCTCTTTGTGGACAACATGCATTTATTTAGTGCTGAAAGCTGTCATTCAAACTGGAAAGAAAAGCTTATGAACAATTTTGTTTTGAAAATGACACTACCATATTTCGCCCCCTTTTAAATTTACTCTAACTACTACTGTTTCTATAGTTTCACTTTAATGCATACATTTTAAGTAATACCTCAACAGTATTCTCTAACATGATTACTAGCCTATGTTTGGGCCACATCCAGCATATGTAAAGGACTACAAATCTGATGCCTTGTTTGACTGTCCTCTCCTACCTCATATACATTTTAGATACCTTTCCTTAAGAACATACAGGCAGAAGATCCTTAATTCTTTTGGGCCATCAGATCAAAATTCCACTTCAGTGAGGCCAAAAAGAGATCTTTTTATTTTGTGTGAAATTGCCATCAGACAAACAGAAGTTCTTAAACAAGGATCATGGATTTACCTGTAACTTTTACAACTAAAATTCACAGTTATTTTCCATCAAGACTGCAGACACTACTTGGCTGACTTTCAATAATTTTAAGCGCCTGGGAAGCTTTCAAGGTGTCTGTCTTCAGGGAAATCTTCTCTTGCTACTCATGCCTTCTTATTTTAGTCACACAGAATTTCCTATTGTGGTGCTTTAGCCAAATGCAAGTTATTTCATTTTTATTGACTATTCCACTATTTAAGCCAGCATTAAGTGATAACTTTGTCATCACACAGGGAAGGTAACTACTTTTACAGGGAAAAGAGGGGACAACAGCTTCTCATTTGTACTAAACAACAGCTATTTAGCCAGCATATGAGAAAGAGCCTACTGAAAATAGTGCTTTGTGTGTGGTTATGTAGGGAAAACTGTTTCCGAGAATACAGTTAAAGCTCATGCTTGTGACTATACAGAGAAAATATCTTAATGGAAAGAAACTCCTAAAACCCATGACATTTCTACATACCTAATTCTTCTTTCAACAGCATCTATATGAAGTTGCTTTTCATGTAACAATTTCTTCAGTGACTCAACCTCCCTTTGTTTCTCAAGCAGTTCTTTTTGTAGACGGTAATTTGTTTCCTCCAGAGTTTCACAGAAAGCCTAAAAGACAAATTTAAGAACATCTTCCTTTTAACTTCAGTGGACTGTATTATTTTTCCTTGAGAAATATCAACCTGTAACAGAATTGTACCTGCTTTTCTTTGTATTATTATAAAGAGCTATATAAACTTGAAAAAAAAAGTTCTGTCATCAATAAAACAATGGTGATTTGTTTTGAACAATGAATTTACTATGCTGAACTGCAACACAAATAATTTACATAAGAGAAACTTTAGAAAGAAGCCTCTTGCCATTCACGTGCCTTCCCTAATTCTGAACCTTTGTAATATTCCACCTATATGGAACATCAGCTGAACTCCCTGCTCCCCTTTTCCCCTCATATAAGCTTTGCTTTCACATGACTCAGAAGTCAATTTTAAAGCATTTAATTATTCCAGAGATGCTAGGAGTATTAGGATAAAGTGCATGATCCTCTCAAGATAAAGACAAAGTTTTCCAGCTCTGTACCAAACACCTGTTACTAATATGAAACCATTAGTCAGAAGACCAATACAAAATCATTTTGAAATTAAATGCCAACAACAGTAACGACTCAACCATGACAAGTATGTTGTGTTACCCTGCTAAGCATGACACATCTATGTAGCACACCCTGACAAATTTGACTGGTGAGCAATCCTAGAACTTAATGTGAAGAGCCAACGTGTAATGCAGCATCCCCCGAATGCAGGAAGTGAAAGAAGTTTTGGCACAGAGCCTGCTGATCTATTACTGGAAACAGCCTATCTACCACCAGTAATGGCAATTCTGATTTAATAATTTACACATTCTCACTAAGTAAGACCCATGCAGGAGGCTTTCTTGGCTTAACGTTACATGCAACTAACCACTAATTCACAGAGTCCTCTGAACACAAACATTTTATATGAGCTCAATTAAGAACAATGTTGTTAAGACACCATTTTCCTAAAGTTTTAAAATGAGCTATCAAGAAGTTACTATTCTTTGTTTTAACTGAAGCAGATTTACCAACCTCTTGAAAATGTTAAGTTTTCCTGTAATTACAGAATTCAAAAAAATGCAGGTTTTTTCAGTACAAAAAAATTTTTTTTTTTTTGCACTGAGTTCTAATTTATTTTACTGACTCAGATAGCAAATTTATCTTTGTTGCCAGGCACTGAAGACCAACCATCAGTTAAACCACATCTTTATTCACATCTAGTAGAGCCAAGCACGTGGCATGCAATCTGTCCATCATTTTTAGTGATTGCTTTAGCAATCAGTCTGGTTAAGCAGTCATCCGGTTTCATCCAAGCCAATTAAGCAACTTCTAGTGTATTTTGTAAAACTATTAAAGTTGCTGGTGGCCTAAATGAAAGGTAACCATTATTTCGTTAAAAATACAATTAAATTATATTGCTTCTACTTTTAGATTTTATCCACATGCAAGTTTCCCTATTCACAGAATAACAAAAATAAAAAATAAAAAAAAAATCCACAGATGTTGGAAACTTTCTATACCAGAACTGAACAAAGCCTTTTGTAAAAACTAATCTCTAGCTGCAATCTGCGTATCAGCTGCCCAAGGAAAGGAAGTCACTGTTAAAAACAGAGTAAGAAAACATCAGTATATTCTGAAGGATGCCGTAATAGCAGAAAGGTGAACCAAAGCTGAAGATGAGCTACCAGGAAATTGTCTGTAATCTTGCTCCTTGAAGAGCTGAACACCTGGAGTCTGTACAATTCTAATACCCAGGTGGGACCAATTTTCCCTAAAAGTCCTGAAAGAGTAACAGAACTAGGACAGCTGGAAAAGAGCTTTGTTTCCTTCTTCAGTGGACCATGAAACACAGATGGCTGGCAAAGGACCTGTGGAAACAGTTACCAAAGGTATGATGCCAAAAAAAAATGGATTAATAGAATAGACACAAACTAAAATGAAGATATCCATATTTTGCAATTCTTTTAATGATAACAGTAAGGCAAAACAAGCAATTTTTGCGATACCTTTAAAAATGAACCCCATGAATATGTACGTGAAGAACAGTGCTTGTCCTGTACTTGCACATTGTTCGGGGAAAGAAAAAGGCAAGGGATATGTACACATATTTCTGATATGTAGTAGTTCAGGATCCTTAACAGGCAGGAGTGGGGAAAAACCAGGACAACCATGATTTCAGGTGAGCAGACTTTAATCTCTTCACAAATCTGCCTGGAAGAAACCATGAAAAAATACCTTGGAGAGAACAGCTGTCCAGGAAAGCTAGCTGCTGTTCAAGCATCAAGCTCAATAAAGGTCTAGATCAACAAGCAGGAAGTCAAGCAAAGGCTGCAGGAGGCCTGTAAGAATTAGCAAGGAACTCCTAACTCAACTCAGATGTAAAAAGCCAGTGTACTGGTGGTGGAAGCATGCAGAGGTGACCCAGTAGGAGTACAGGGCTGCTGTCTGATCTTACAGGGATAGGGTTAAGAAAGTGAAGGTCAACCTGGAGCTGAACTTGGCAAGGCACGTGCGAAGAAACAAGAAAGGATTCTACAAGTACATAATTAACAAAAGGAAGACCAGTGAAACCATAGACCTGCTTTGAAACTGAGTGAGTGAACTTGTGACAAATCACACCAAAAAGGTTAAGGTACTCGATGCCATCTTTGCCTGTCTTCATTGTTAAGACTAGCCTTCAGGAATCCCAGACCTCTGCAACCAGAGGGAAAGACAAGGAAGGGGAAGACAAACTTACCCTCAGTGTTGGGGACAAAACAAACTGGACATACTTAAATCCATGGGACCTGACAGGTTGCACCTGCGAGTGTTGAGATGCAGTCAGGGGGGGACCTGACTAAGCTCCATCTTGTTGTCCACCAGGACCTCAGGTCTCAGGATTCAAGTATCATAAACAAAGATAATTAAGGGGCTTAAGCATCTTTCATGTGATAAACAGGAGTGAACTGGAACTCTTCAGTCTGGAGAAGAAAAGGTTCAAGGTGATCTTATCAATGGGAGGGAATGAACAAGAGAGACCCAGACTTCTCAGTGGTGGCTACTGACAGGACAGGAGACAATGGGCACAAATTAAGACCCAGGAAATTCAATCTGAGCACAGAAATCACATTTTTACTGTGGCAGTGATCAAACACTGAAGCTGGCTGCACAGAGAAGTTGTGAATTCTCTGCAGAATATTCAAACCTGACTGGTCATGGTCCTGGGCAAGCTGCAGCAGCTGACCTTACTCAACGAGAAGGGCTGGACTAGAGGATCTGAAGAGGTCTCTTCCAACCTCAACCACTCTGTAATAAAGTGGGCTAGCCCTTGGAGACCAGAATTTTATGACAGCTGTCTCTAGCAACTTCACAGAAATGGTTAACAGCCAAAACTACACCAGCACAGCTACTGAATAGTTTATCTAAATTCCCATGGTGGAAGAATAACCCTGAGATTTCACCACTGCACACATAATCAAAATATCAATGAAAGCATCACTTAAATTTCTCACTTATCTGAACAAATAATTCCTGTAATTTTTATTAATTTTCATCAACTTAAATAGCTATAATGAAAAGTGTTTGTACAGAAATCAAATATGAGCTTGTAACACACAAAAAAAACCAAAACACCAACCCAACAAATCCTTCAATTATACACAGTAATGTAATAAGAGCCAAGGCACTCCCACCTGCATGCAAACCAAACTGGTAAACATAAATTTAGTTGGAGGAGTACCACTTAACATTCATAATTTCTATAGTACTAAAAAGGTATGTGCTATTCAAAAACATTCATATTCTATAAAGCAAGAAAACTAAGACCACTTGTTCTAGACAGACTTGATGCAGCTTTGCATGCCAGTGAAACTTACTTCTCATAAACCAGGCTGCAGCCTACAGTATTATATGTTCAGTGTGCTCATATGCACGTTGAAAGGCTGCTGCTTTACTATACTACTTGACACTACTAAATAGAACACTTTTCTTGTAGTCAGAATTAATCCTTTCATTACATTTCATAGCAAGAAACATTTTACTGCAAGACCTGAAGTCTAAGGTGTAGGCATTGAGACAATGTGTTGAACATAAACATACAAAACCTATCTTTATATTCAGTAGTTGCCTTAAAAACAAGTTTCACCCACTGGTCATAAAAGGCAACAAGGAAGAGATCACACCTTGGGACAGAGATGAAGTACAGCAGTCAAAGATTACAGTGTGCACCAATAATTAGACTGTCAGTTTTACAAATACGTCTATGTGCAAATTTCTGTGATAAAACAGAAGTTAAAGCTTCCACTCCCTACCGCTCAGCAGATTTTACAATATTCTGTCAACAACTGCCTTTTGCATTCTGTTTTTAGCATACTACATATCACTTACCCTGCTCTCTTCTAGACTGTCAAAAGGACCTGGAGGATCATCCAGACAAAGAAATTCTCTCACTGCAAGGCTTCAGCAAACAAAAGAGATTGAATTACTTGAAATATAAAAAAAAGCAACACTTAAATATGATCATATAAGGGCAGTATTTCTTTACACGAAAGAAACACCTCTCCTCAGATTCCTAAGTATTCAAGATAATGTTAACAAACTATTAAATCTTTTATGACTGTGACTTAAGTTACACAGGTACAGTTAAGAATTCATCTAAGTTTGTCAATTTAGAACATGATTTTTCAAATCTTCACAAAATTTGTTGATACATGACAACTGAAAAGCAAATTTATCAATTTGGTACTAAAGACGTTCGAAAAATAAATGTTAGCAGATGGATGAAAAAAGTGTACTGCTAAAATCCACATACAGATGTCTAAAAGAAATATCAGTGGAACTAAGCACTGGTACTAAAACATGCTTATGTGTCTCCATTTTGCTAAGATCATAATCCATTCACTTATACACAATATATAATTTTTATATATACAGTATATTTTAATATATGCATACATAAAAGAATAAGTTATAAAAGAATAAGAAGTGACAAAGTTAATGTGCCATGGATATACATATAGCCATTTGCTCTTGTGAGACCTCACTTGGAGTCCTGTGTGCAGTTCTGGTGTCCTCAACATAAAAAGGACATGGAACTGTTGGAACAAGTCCAGAGGAGGGCCACGAGAATGATCAGGGGACTGGAGCACCTCCCATATGAAGATGAGAAAGTTGGGGCTGTTCAGACTGGAGAAGAGAAGGCTGCGTGGAGACCTCATAGCAGCCTTCCAATATCTGAAGGGGGCCTACAGGGATGCTGAGGAGGGACTCTTCATTAGGGACTGTAGCGACAGGACAAGGGGTAACAGGTTAGAACTTAAACAGGGGAAGTTTAGACTGGATATAAGGAGGAAATTCTTTACTGTAAGGGTGGTGAGGCACTGGAATGTGTTGCCCAGGGAAGCTGTGAATGCTCCATCCCTGGTGGTGTTCAAGGCCAGGTTGGATGAAGCCTTGGGTGACATGGTTTAGTGTGAGGTGTCCCTGCCCATGGCAGGGGGGTTGGAACTAGATGATCTTAAGGTCGTTTCCAACCCTGTGTATTGTATGATTCTATGATCTCTAAACATACTTATCAAATTAATGCATTCAACTTAAAATTGTGTAAAATAGTGTAACAGATGACATTCGCCTCTGTGCAGTTTTACAAAGGCCAGAAGGAAGTATGTGTAATCCTGTGGTTTACTACAAAGTCTATGGAGCATCTTGCTAATTCCGTCTTCCAGGTTTAGACTACTTTTCAGAGAACTCTTCAGCATCTTTGATCATATCTCTTCATCCAGCTTTCTAAGACTTTCCTACTCTGTTGTATTCATTCCTCTATAAATAACCTTCAATCAGAATACTGTGTTCACAATTAAGAAGAAACTTACAATTCTGTGCTTGCACTCACTACTATAAATCTTTACATAATCTCCTAATTGAATGAATATACAGAAATGGAAGACATGAATCCAAACTAATTTCCTGTCTCTTCCACCTATGTCTCGTGGGAAGGTGAGAACAACAGGAAGTAATTTCCTGCCTTCTGCTCATTCTCTACATTTGTGGCAGACACAAAGTACAAGCACAAGAAGGTAAACTTTAACTCTGCTACCGCTCTAATCAAACAGTTTCAAGTTTGGCAAGCAAAATGAGGACAACTCTCTTCAGCAAATCACTAATCATTGATGATACTATCACTTATGTTTAGAAAGGCTATAAAGGATATTTATCTAAATACATTGAACCTTTGTTATTGGATTTTCATGAGCCTGCTTTCACGTGCTTACTGCACGAGAAGACAGAGGTGAGGTTTTGGCCAACGACTAGTGAGAATTCTTGTTTTAATATTCACTTCTACCTCATCAGCCTTAACCCCATCCTGGAAAAAATTCTTCTATAATCATGATGATTCTTGTCCCCACTTAATCTATATGACAAATGTGGAAAAACCTTCCTTTTTTCAAGTCCCCTCTGCTGTTTTATATTAATCAAATCTATGATCTCTGCAAGCCACAGCCTAATCCCGTACTAGAAAAATAGCTTCCCCCATGTACTCAAACAAGCAATAAAAAAATCTGCTACTTAAACCAAGATTATCACTCCAATTAGTATAAAAAAAATGATATAAGGTAACAGGTCATTGGTTAATGATTAGAACATAACCTTAAGCCAAATAAAAATTTATTCAGGCATTCAGTATATTTTCAAAGAGAAGAGCAGGTTGTTTTTTTCCTCTCCAAACAGTTTAACGTGAAGTGACCCTTTTCCAACACGATACTTAAGTCCATTTTTAATGGTCAAATTGTTCTTTTCCTAAAGATGCTGAAGGAACTCACTTAAGCCTAATGCAGAAGAACTCATTATACAGAAACACTTCTGCTTACCATTCTTCTTCAATAACTTTACACCTATTCACCTAGCTCAGTTGAAAAACTCTAAAAATTTCATTTCTATATTTTGCTACAACATTTGCTGTGTTAATGGGTAACATTACAATGACATAACATGCAGTAATGCTTGTGAGAGAAAACCAGAATAACCAGAAAAATAAATGTGCAAAAATATCCAATCTACATGTATCAACTACTTACATCAGGTCAATCCCCCCCTTTTCCCTGCAGTTGCTGGCAGAAAAGTGTCTCTCTAGTTTTCAAAACTTCTTAGAACTGAAAGCTGTAGATTCATTACTTTACATAAAGAGGCCAAGAAACTTAAAGCTACAGGTCACTGAAAACATTGTTTCTTTACCTAAAACATTCACCTCATTGTATGAACATCCATTTGCAGACTATCTTTACTCAGTCTGCTCTGACCCTGCTCTCCCCTCCATATGCTACATCTCTTCCTTTCATTTAACAGGAGAGAGTTCTGCCTCAAAAATATAATAGAAAACTTCTACATCATGTAGCAGAGATGGCTGTACATGGTTTCTTTCTTTGCTTCATCCCATGCAAGCTGACATCCTTAAGAGAGACCAGCATTAAGAAGGGCAGTAAGGGGGAGTACAGCACACAGACAAGACCCAACAGCTGACCAGTTCCTCCCTTTCAAGCTGGTTCTTACAGAGGGTGGAGGCAGAGGAGAGCTGTGTCATCTGTATAAAGCCAGATGACAATTCTGTTTAGCAGGTTAAACTCCCACTTTGTGGGTTATGTGCAATTTTCTCAAATGCATTAAACTCTGTGAGGATTTTAATTTGATCTTTCACTTAATCTTCAATACAAGGCAAAAGAGGAGAACAAATCCATAAGAACACAGACCTGTAATTTTGTGACCTGCCTAGCATCCTGTATTTTATCTTTAAACTACTTTATGAAGCTAGGTTTATTAAAAAATTGGAATACCAAATGAGGTCTCCTATCCCTGAAAGGTAAATTTCCCAATGCCAATATGTCTCAGTGATAACACAATACATAAAGAGAATGAGAGAGACCTTGGTGCAACCTAAGCAGTTTGATTTATTCGGAAAACTACAGAAGTAAATGGTGAGCTTTTAAGGAGGAAGCAGGGTCATATGCTTACCACTACTCATGTAAAGCGCAAAAACTAATTTCCATTAATAGTAACTTTTACTCTTTGATAATTGGTTAAAAAATACCAGATGGCTCAAATCTCCCTAGTCTTAATCACTTCCCAAGGAATTCAAGCCTTCCAGAGATCCAAACAATTGAATAAAAGCTGTACCAACAGGTCAGAATTTTTAATAAACTTCATCTTCATGCTGAGCCTTACACAGCCAAAATCAGAATTTTCCTCAAAAACATGTTTCAATTAACTACCTGTTCATTAACCAAAATACAAACTGATTCTACAAACACTTAAATTCCCTTTTGTATCTGACAAGCAATGTAGACCAAAAGTTTTGTAGAGGCTTTTTGCCTTAAATGACAAACTATTCTGTCCAACACTGACCACTACTGAGATACCAACAAGCTAGCTGAAATGCCAAACTAGCTGCAACAACATGAAGCATAAAGGTTTCAGATCTATTCAAGCCAACTAGAAGTCCACCCTGCTCACTAGTTTGCTTCCAGCAACATAACACAAGAGACATTTAATTCCTTTCTTCTTGGCACACCTATTATTGTGTAATTTAATAATCAGGAAGCTCTTTAAAGTTCTCAGCCACATATTTCATCTGTACAATCACATTTAATAGCCACTGACAGAGAAATTCACAGGTTGATCCTAATTTCTTTTTGGAAACTACTTAAGCTTTCCGTCTCTGACATCTCACAACAAAGCTTCGTAATTCAGTGTGACATATGTAGAGATGACTATGAATCATGCATAATACTGACATTCTTTACTCACCTTCGCTATCCCCTTGATGATATCATATGTCCTGTTTAGCCAGCCCTTTCCGAAGACAACAGACTATAGAAAACAGAACTCTTGTTGCAGGGAAGCTTGTCTGTGGCTTCACCTGTTCCTGCTTGTTTTCTCTGTACTTCTAGCAGACACTCTTTTGAAACAGAATCTTGTGTTTTATCACTGGACTCTATGAAAAGTGCAATTCAGATTCCCACAGCAGTAACATATTTTTTTTTTCCTCCTTTCAAGTTCCTTTTCAACAATTTTTATGCAACTTTTTGATTACTACTGAACACTGAACTGATTCAGAAAACTGTAATACCACCAATAATCTTCCAGGTTGTAAGAGACAACCGAGTTTATGATTCTTTATGTACGTACGTGCTGTCATTTTGCACTTCATGACATGAAAACTAACATTAGTCACCCAGTGGCTCAGGATCCTTCTCCAACACTTTATAATCACATTAATCATTCCTTTGTCCAGATAACTTACAGATATTGTGAACATCAGTGTCTGTAGCTGTAATCCAGCATTCATATGCAATACGGAAATTTCCATAATCCTTCTCCCTTGCCTTTCAACCATTTTATACAAGCTCCCTCATAACTACTTGTTACATTTCCCTCTGCAAAAGACATTATTGCTTTTCCCAGTGTTATTTTTATTTACCTGCTTACCACTTTGGGTTTATTACAAGCAGTACCAAACGTCAGACTTACTTACTAATCTCTAGTTTCCAGACTCAACAGTCAGGAACTTTATAAAAAGGTGCCAAATGTAGTAATACACATTCTACTAAAAAGTAAAGTAGATGCAAGCTTTATATGGTCTCACTCCACAGCTCAGCAATTTTACATTTTAGTTCCTTTAAAATTCTTGAGGGAATGGTGTTTGCGCTAATTTCTTACTCTTTGTTTGTAATGAAACTTCAGAAGAAAGCAGCTAATCAGACTCATTCCTCAAAGAATCTCTGATACAGTAACCTCAATTTTTTTATTTGTCATGCTGGAACAGGTTTTTAGAATCAACTGCTTTGCCTCTAGCAACCTGCTTACTAAAATTCTCTTTTGGTCTATATTAAAATTATTTTACATTTAATTTGCCAGAATTCCAGCTTTGGAAGAAAAAACGATATTGTCCAAAGAGACTTCTGTACTTTGTTGCTTAAACATATTATGTTTCTTAGACTCTTAAAGCCTTTTCTGATTTGTGGATTACATTTACTTACGTAAAGCAATCTGTAAAGGTATTTCTATTATTTATATTTGCATGATGCCATGTAAATTAAAAACCTTTAGTTTAATATGCATTTTAAGAACCAATTACATAATAGTGTAGGTACTTTCCATTATGAAAGCCTAACATTTTATCTTCATATAAATTAACAATATGTCAATTCTACATTTAGTACAGAGAACTTCCATGTTCCATGTTGTAGAAGTAAACATAGAATTAGTCCAATATTTTAAATATTATAGCTTTTAGCTAGTTGTTAACCATGTGCAATTTCTGTTTTTTTGCTTAGGTTAAGATGGGATTAATTTAATAGAACACTAAATAATTCACATAATGACCAAATGCACAACATGAATATTAATGAAATTCCTCACTATGTTGCTCAAAGATACACTGCTAGAGTCTAGGAGCTTACATCACAAGTTTGGACAGAAAAACCCCCCAACAAATCCACAAGCAAAGTTGAATCACATACCAGTTAGCAATATCTTTGTGAGCTACTAGGTTCTGAAGGAATGCTTGTAGTCCCAACTGTCGATCTTCCAAGAAGTCAGGATTATAATTATCCTTGAACCAGCGCTTTGGTGGAAGGGCCAACCGAAAGCCCGGAAACATATCTTTTAGCTGAAATAGAAATCATATCCAAAGAAAACCAAGAAAGGAAGTCTTGATGAAATACTGAGTTTGACACAGCACTGACTTTACTCATCACAGGATTTGTCTGTCTTCTGTTAAGCTCAAGCACAAGGTAAATCTCAACCATAAATACAACACAAATTATATCATAAATTATGGATACAGTTCTGCTACTTGCTATATTGCCTTGCACACCTCTCAAATCCATCACATAAAAATAGCAATGAAAAACTTTCCTTTGTTACTTACCATCTCTTGAGTCTGCTATCTAATGCCTCTGAGTCAGTAAGTGTAAGAAAACTGTATGTAAGTAAAAAGTCTCAGATGAGTAAGCATTTCAGTAGGGTTACAGGGACAGTAGGCACTAAATAAATAAAAGCCCATTACAGACCTACAACTCATCTTTTTTGGGAAGCTAGCAGATTAAATTACAACACTTGCATGAGGTACTTCTAGTAAAGAGTAGCTCCTTGAGCACCCAGAAGATTAAAATTTTAACGTGCACTGAAGTATTGTATACAGCCCATGATAACTACTAGTTTCTAATTTACAGAATGGTTTGACAAAATGCTGCTCTTTATTTCTGCATTTAATTATTTCTGTTTTCCTCTTACAAATTCATCCTGATAGTAGACTCTTCCTGATATTTTTAAGTTTAGCTTTGCTCATCCACAGTTCCACTATCTCTTACTAAGTTACCATTAGTACCCCACATATGTAAGCATTCTATATGCTCCACGCACCCTCTTAAATTAATGAAATACTGAATAGAACTGAACTCAGAAAACAAAATGAATTCCTGTGTTAGCTGAAGAGAGGACCACAGCTAACCATTGCTGGGTAAGGTTTTCAACCATAGGTTTCTGTGTAATGGTAAATTCACTTGTCTGGTTATGTAGATCATGTAATTTACTTCTCAGGAAAGAGTATGCCTACCCACAGATTACTCCTTTTGTGGATGAAGAGAGTATGAGAAAGCTAGCGATGAGGAATGGGTTAAAGACCAGTTGAGCAATCTGGATATCCATAAATCCATGGGTCCAGATGGGATGCACCCGCGGGTGCTGAGGGAACTGGCTGAGGTCATTGCTGACCGCTCTCCATCATCTTTACCAAGTCTTGGGAAACGGGAGAGGTGTCTGAGGACTGGAGGAAAGCAAATGTCACTCCTGTCTTTAAAAAGGGCAAGAAGGAGGACCCGGTAACTATAGACCGTTAGCCTCACCTCCATTCCTGGGAAAGTGATGGAACACCTTTCCTTGGTGCCATCTTAAGGCATATCAAGGATAAGAGGGTTATGAGGGGCAGTCAACATGGCTTCACCAAGGGGAAGTCGTGCTTGACCAATCTCGTAGCCTTTTATGAGGAAATAACACGGTGGATGGATGATGGAGAGCGGTGGATGTGGTCTACCTGACTTCAGCAAAGCTTTGACACGTCTCCCACAGCATCCTTGCGGCTAAATTGAGAAGTGGTTGGTGATGGGTAGTGAGGTGGACTGTGAACTGGCTGAAGGAGAGAAGCCAGAGAGTTGTAGTCTATGGGGATCTAGTTGGAGGCCTGTATCTAGTGGAGTGCCTCAAGGGTCGTACTGGACCATATTATTTAATATATTCATCAACGATTTAGATGAGGGAATTGAGTGTACTATCAGCAAGTTTGCTGATGACACTAAGCTGGGAGGGTGCCGACACCCGAAGGCTGTGCGCCATCCAGAGACCACACACAACAAAAAAACAAAAACCCAACCACACCCCCAAACAAACACCCTGGTGTGAGCAGACTAATTTTCAACAGCACAGTCCTGGGGCATTCTTTCTTGAACATTTCTCAGACATAGCAGGAAAAACTGTGGGTCAGACAAGTTAAGCTGGCTCTGATTGCTCACTTGGATCCATCTTCTCTAGATGCCCTTCCCCTACATCACCACATGACAGATTATACATGTCATATGAGGCTCAGCCTCAGCTAGAAATGGTTAACTTCTTGGTTCTCAAGACTGGCCATTTCATTATTTCTTAAACATCTCTACCAGTATAGCAATAAACTTCACAAAGTTCCTTTTCCACCATTTTTGGGGACCAGTGAGTATTCCTCATATACTTCTCCAATCAACTAGATGTTCTTAAACAAAATCTATGCATCTAGCCAAACGACTGTATTTTAGCCTTTGTCCCACCTCCTTAAATCCTGTCACATTCCAATGTCCATCAAGATTTTTTTTTTGTTACTATTACAGCAAACAACAGTGTTTCAGTTTTTACTGTAACATTTGCTATTTGCTTCCCATAATTTGCTCTCAAGTAATGATTTGTTATTTTACTGCCTCTTTCCCTTACTCTGCCCCTCGTGATTTACAGAACTTTACCTATTGCTCTTAGCATCCTGTGACAGTCCATCTTGCGTCTCAGCAGTTCTGCCTTGGTCTTCAGAAGTCTGCACTACTCCCCTTGTGCTGATCTGTATTTTGTGTTATTTTTTTAACTACTTTTGACTCGAGATTACTACGTAGCTTCTTGTGTACTCGTACTAACAATATCTCATCTTTCCTTTACATTGGATTACTTTGCCATCATCTTCTATTTGTCTTCTTTCAGCAGCTATGGAGTCTTCATAACCTTTTAATTGCCTGAAAAGTAGATGGCTTTGACATCCAAAGAGCTTGTTGCTTATACTTGAAGACTGTTCAAGTCTTAATGTACTGCTGCACTGATTTAATTCATATGAGGAGAGTTGAGCTCTTTTACTCCCATTCATTTCTATTTTATTAGTGCCCCTTACTAAAAATATTTCAGAAACTAGTGGAAGTACAACATTTGCTAGGATCTGATTTTGCCTTTATTGTCTTTGAGACTTCATGGAAGCTAAAGAATGCTACTCTAGTTGCTTCTGTTAGTCGAGCTGCATTCATTCGTCTACTCCTGATTTTATCCTGACGTATTCCTATAGTGACACTGTTCCTGTTCTCACATCTCCATTTTTAGCCACTGTCAAAGTCCAACACTCACTTCAGGTAGGATTGGTAAGTATATGCCTGACACTTACAAAACATACTGCTCTTTTGTCTTTACTTTGTCTTCCTGAAACAGCCACTCCCTCTCTGGTAATACTTGAAAACCAATTCACATAGTGATCACAGTGATTGATTATTCAATTCAGTTGCTAAGTTTCTATTACCATTTCAGGGAATGAATAATTTGCCACTAACCTCAAGAAGAATGGTGAGGAAAAGATTTTATAAGATTGTATATTTCTCCTGTTTATATTGCATTTCTAAGCAATAGGGTAGAGAAAAAGCTGAAAGTATACACATACGCAACTTCATGTCTATATTTGTCATTAGAGAAAAAGGATTTTCAGGTGTTGCACCATGTCTTTTGAACCACTGAGGTGCGCTTATAATCATTTACTCCCCAGTTCTTAAGACATTATGCTGCTTATAATATAGAAATGCCAGCTCCAGGAACGGAAGCTTCTACAGAATTACTGAATAGGAACATAATAAAAATTTATATTTTCATATGAAAGATGAAAAAGATTGTCAGTGACACACGGGAAAAATAAAGTTCTTCCTTTCAAACAGAAATCCTAATACCTATAAATCATGCCAGAAGATAAAAATTTTTTGTCAAAGATTTGGTAAGGACTTCATTTGTAAAACCTAAATACCTATTGTAAAGTGATAACCTGTGGCATTTTAATTTTTTTAACTAGTGATAACCACATTATAAGTCAGTGCATATAAGCCAGTTCTTGACCTGTATCTGACATAGTTCACCAAAATACAAATTGTTGATGGCTTGACTTCTGAAATTCGAGTTGAAATCCCCAGAACATCATCAACTCAAAAGAAGTTAGGCTTTTGCCAACACCAAGGCATTCCTAGCCTAAAAGATATCCAAACAGGTCAAACCAAGAACCCAGAGAAATGTGTTAAGTTGAAGTCCATATTCCAAATTTCAGCAGACTCAAGTTCTTTGTTGGTTAGGCACACAGATCCAAGGAGAAAAAGTATAAAAAACCCCCAACCCTTACCTTGTTTTGTACATTTATGATTCTATATGAATAATGCTAAATGGGATAGCCAAATGCTAATTACCAATTAATAAAACTTGTGCTTTTTAGGACAAACTTTTTTTTGCTTTCAAGTGTCCTAAAAATATTAAATTGCTGACACAGAAATCTTGTTTACTTGGGGTCTCTGTCCTCAGCTTTAAAACTCTGATATTTCACAATTAACTTCAAAAGACACTGAAAACAACAGAAGATTGACCAACACACAAGGACCTTATGTTCATGAAACTTAAGTTATATCATGAAAAAAGCAGCTTGTTGCACTGAAATGACTGAATAATTACTCTATCAGAATACAAGCCCATAATTCTTTTTCTATGCAGCAGATACAGCTTAAAGAGTTAATTCCCTTTACCACACAGACTAGAAATAAATATAATGTATGATGCTCACAGAGTGAGAACTACCTTCTTTTATACTAGCTGTATTTGTCTTTGAAAATATGAGGAATCATGTTTTCCATTCATTAATACAGTATGTGTTGTATAGGTAGTGAAAAAAGAAAGCAAGAAAACAAGTGACAAAAATGTCAGACACAAAGAAAATGAAATATGAAAGAAGAGTGAGTTAAGTTAGCTGAGAACTTATCGGTGTAAAATTCTCACCTTGTCATTAAGCCTGGAGAAGTCAGTGTACCGTCTGAAGACCACCCAACTTTCATCTGGACTTCTTTTTACCAGTATTTTGTATACCTATGTGGAAAAATACGAATATCAGAAAAATGTGCAGGATTTCACACTGCATTAGCTGGAAGGCTGAAATTATTCTCTTTTTCTTAATGAAATAAAACTTAAGGATTTTATTTCTTTTTATCCAGAATTGGATTAAAAAAATCCTCCCAAACAAACAAGCAACTTAATTATCAGACAAACAGCATAAATTCATTTCAGAATTTAAGGAAGGAATTTCTATAATTCATAAATACACTTAGCTATTTTCTGTCTGTAAAAAGGGCTTGTTAAATTTCACCCAGGGTTCTTCCCCAGAAAAAAAACCAAAAACCCCCAAGTCTCAGCTATGAAAGTGGTGAGGTATGTTTTAATGACCTATTTTAACAGTTGCCAAATTATAGTTCTGTCATTAAACCCTGAGTCCAATATGTTCTTCAGATGACTGTAACAAGCAGGTACTGCATGTTGTATTGTTTTACAATGTCTTATGTGACCTGCTTCACAAGGAAAGGCGATGTAGGATAAAAATAACATCCTCCTTTTGTTCCGTCTATCTTGAACATGAGGTTTTGTCTTTCCAGGCAAAATATGACCATTTCCCTGGATAACTGCATCAGAATGATTATGTTAAGATTGTAGGACTGAAGTAATATAATTTGAAACAGATTTGGCCAGACAAGAGCACAGCAGTACCATTCTCCTATTTAAAAGCAAATGGATAATTAAATAAAACAATGATAAAAACAATTATAGAATTACCTTTTAGGAGGACAAATACTCAAATGCCTGAACGCAATGAATCTAACAACAAGCAACTTCAACTACAAAATATTAAACAGTGTCTAGAAAAGAGGGGTTCTCATGTCACAACCTTACTTTTTCTGATGTAAGGAAAAAGACTCTGCACTGGTACTGGGTTAGTCCTACCAGTCTAGGTGTTCTCTAGTTAAATTTCCCACCCCCCTCCAACCATAAGTAAAAATGTCTTCAAAATAGGGGAAGAAAAAGGTATTTTTGAAATCATAATAATAAACATTCCCTTATGGGTATTTAACCCAATTCTATCGAAAACATTTCCTCATGTGTTGCATAGTAAAATCTTTCCCAGTATAATCATGTTTTCAAAGCAGGTTGTCTTAGCTGACAGATATATTTTCTTGTTGGAATCCCAGCATGTGATAACCCCCATGCTAGCCAACTTCTGGACATGTGTGAAACTGTTTTTAGCATTTTTGCATTCCATAATATATTAAGTGCCAAACAGCTACACAAGGTACAGATAACTACCGTGCAAATTAAAAGCAGTTTTTCAACATGTATTTCTCTTATCTACTTTTTAAACACAGTATTCCACTTTTAAGTAACATCATCTGCGGAAGTCATAGACTGCAACAGAGGCAATATTTCAGACATTAACTAAAAGCTATTAGCTTTTAAAATTCAAGCCGCAAAACATGCCTGTGAAGTCAGCGTTAAAATACAATTCTTCTGTCTTCCATTTTGTGTATAAATATTTGTCCAAGTGTTTTAACTTTGTTGTCATACTGGAAGTATGTAAACTTCATAAAGCAGAACTGCTATATAAAACTGTGAAAACTTTGCCAGTACAGTCAAACACAAAATAAGAAGCTGTGGAACATGCTTGAGGATTTACATGCTAACCTGTTTTCTATTCTACTGTTTTATTCTACTAAAGGCATTGCTTAAAAAACACAAACCCCAACAATATCCAGTTAGTCTGATCCTCACTCCGAATGGTTTCCAAGCAAATATTAGATAAAGTCTTCACAAATTATGGCCAACTTAAAGAGTACAATGCACTTGTGATTACTGCCCCAACCTGAACACCGTTTTCTTGACAAAATTGAATAAAATTTTGCAGTTTTCTTGTTTGGGATTTTTTTCGTGGTGGTTTCTTTTTTTTTTTTTATTTAGATTTTTCATTAATAAACAAGAAAAACTAGACTGTTACAAAAACAACTGTCAGCTCCTTCACACAAGATCTTGCAAAAATCCCCCAAACAAAAAATTAAAACTAATTCACACAATTCCAGTCAACCCTGAATTGCCTTATTCTGCAAATATAAAACATTCAATGAAGATATGCCAATATTTAGTAACAATCTCTGGCTCATTTGGCATGTCATTATAGTTTCTAGTTGGCTAAAAATGCTTCAGACCATAAGGTGTAATTGAACATTCCAGCACTGCTCAGAGACCAATTGTTTATGAACAGAGACTTTTTCAAACCTGGGTTTTCTCTAAGCTTCAGCAGCCATGTTCTCCAATATCCACTACCATTTAACTCCTGAAGTTAATAGATGAACCAGCTTAACTCATTCAGATTCATATTTTCAGAACTATGAGATGTGAAACTGAAAAAAAAACCCCAAAAAACAAAAACAAGCAACCCGAACCAGAAAAACTTCAGCAGTTGAGTCTCCTCTCTTTTACAGGTGATGTCAAGGTAATTTCCATTGTCTTCTATCTCATTGATTTTCCACTACAGAAGCAACCAAAATTTCCAGCAATTAAAATTGCTGATTTTAATGCACAATAGCAAGCTTATTTTCAATATACAGCTGAAAACAGCTAATTATGTGCTTTCAGGAACAAGCACAGAAGTGATTTCAGAAACAACAAAAATGCATTTAAACATTTTAACAATGAAGAATGTTTCATTTGCACTGAACTTGGTCTTCCAAAAAATGAGGAGTTCAAGTTGCCATTTTAACTACAGCTGAAGAACATCTTACATGCACACTGAAATCTTCCTGCCCATATTTTCAGACTAGCCCTTGTCAATGTAACAATACTAATCATGCTACCATGAATGAAGATGCAAGAAACTGAAAAACTTAAAAGACAAACCATTATTCTCAAATAATTAAAAAGTAGCATTCTTGTCAAAAAACCCCCCACTTGATTATTTTATTAATATTCAACTGTCATAAGGGCATTAGATTCCATGTTTTTCTAATCTAAGAGAAAATGGGAGAAAAAAGTTTGTCTGCTATTTCCTCCTCCTCAGCTGTCATTAATGTTGCTCTCCTGAAGTAACATAATTGATAAATAATAAGTAACAATTTCCATCAGTCCCACACGCCTTGCTGAAGTAGTTCAAAATGTTCCAACCACACAGAATAGAATCATAGAATAGTTAGGGTTGGAAAGGACCATAAGATCAAGTTCCAACCCCCCTGCCATGGGCAGGGACACCTCGCTCTAAACCGTATCACCCAAGGCCTCCCACAAAAACAAACTTGTTAACATATTTATGGCATGTAAAGCATACTGAATTGCCAACTACAATACATTTTGCTAAAAAAAAAATTAAAAAAAAATAAAAAAATCAAAACAAATCAGTTAAGCTAGTGTTCTGTCATGAGATACCACATATGTGGCATCCCACTGATGTTTCCAGCACAGATTTCCCCTTATCAAAAACTAGACCTACCAATGCAAGAAGCTGAAACCTATGTGTTTACACTTTAATGAAAAATATTCTGTTACTAATAACTGTAAAAGGCAAGTATCAGGGTGTCTTATCATCTATTTCAAATGAAAGACTACATTTTAAGATGTTTAACTATCCAGAATTTCTACAAGTTCAGTCTCACAAGGAATTGTAAATTTTGCAAAGAATTCCTGACTATTACAGCAGAAATTTGAAGTAGAATAAATTCCTCCTACTCCACATACACAATTACAGGAAACACTGCTTACAAGTGCATGTTCTCCCACTTGTATAACAGGAATTACATTTTCCTGTTAGACAGCAATACTTCGAAGCTAAACTGGTATTTGTAAAGTACCTGAACTGTGGGATTAATTACTGAAAGAAAATGCAAAGTACATTCAGTTGTTATCTTGTCATTACATGATGAACTATCCCCAAAACTTACAGTGAATTTTGCCCTTTCCTCCATCACCTCATAACCCAGTATAGTAGGTGTGGACGGTCGATCTTCCCAGCTCCTGGAATCTGTATTCTGCTCTATTTCTTCTGAAGGCTGCGTACAGTATTCTATGGATGTGTCCATACCTGTAAATTTAGTCCTAACAAGTGGACTACTACACGCAGATGATGTAGAACCAATCTGGTCAGGCACACTCATCTTTTTAAAACTACCAATTGTAGAGTCCTCCAACTGTCCTTTTGAGGAGCTGGAACTTGTTGAGATGCTCCCAAAAGAAGAACTTCTTTGGTTTCTGTTTGTAAAGCTGGATGAGGAGCTTCCAATAGGAATAGGGACAGGAACGTATGGTGTTGCCATCCTTCATGAAGAAAAGATTCAGTTTTTGGCCCAGGAGTTTAAGGTTCATTCACTGTATAAGTCATGTTTTCTTTTCAAGAGCAGTATCTGCAGGGAAGGACAGAAAATATTGCTGGAATTTTCAAGTGAAAGCAACACTAAAATACTGCTTTGGAAGATTCTGTAGGAGTACTGATGCTTAAACATTTTCATAAGGAATTTGGCATATAAAAATGCTGCTTTTAACTGTACTTCTGCAGCTTGGCAGACAGCTTTACAGTTCTGACTTTCAGAGCTACTAGAATAAAAACGACAGAATGTTAAAGATTGCAAATGAGAAAAATGGTTTTGGCCTTCATAATTCACATACTATTTTTTGTTGTATTGAAAAAGTCAGCAATTTTGAGGCACTTAAGAAGCTGGTGTAGTTTTAGTGGCTGTTCAGTACAAATAGCACAAAACTTCTCTCAGAATTGCTTCTGTAAGATATCGGGAGCAAACTACACAAGCCAAACATACATGCGACAATACACAGGACATGAATCAAAAGACAACACAGTAAACAATTTAGATGAGAAACATATCTGAGTATGTTACATATTCACTGAAGTATAATGGACCAATTTCCAAAGCCAAATACTTTTTCAAAACAACTGTTGCATATGCTGCAGACATTTGTAACAATGTTAACTGGACACATTTTCTGTAGCTTGAATTGGAGCAATTAAGTTTCACAAGCATGCACATTAAATGCAGTGTTGGAATAGCAGGTAGTTTCCTCTTCCAGCAGTTTAAAATATCAAAAACCCCAAACAAACAAGTTCAGGGAAAAAAGGAAAAAAATAAATTTTTTTCTTCAAGGAAACAATTACAAGCCAAAATTAATCTTTTGCATGCGTGTACATTTCTAAAAAAAAAAAAAAAAAAAAGGCAAAATAAAATTAAGACAGCCATATCAAACTGCCAAAAAAGCACCATCTCCTCATTTTAACAAAGTACCCAAAGAAGAGGTCTTACAAGATACAAATTAGATGCCACTTTGAATTAATAGGATTTGAGTCATCACCCATTTCACCTAAGAGTACAAGGCTGCTGGAGGCTCTGAAATGGGTAACCATCAACCTGATTCACATCATATACAGAATCAAATCACCTACTGAAACAAAAACAAATGAGCTTCCTAATTGCCAAGGTGAAGTGATTCTTTCATTCTCTTGCTCTAAATAAATCTTACAGAACATAAATAAGGAAGTAAACATGAAATGGACCAGCGTCAACAAGAAAGGCTGAAAAATGCTCATGAAAGAATTCTGTGAATGAAGAACAAACTTTGTGTTCTTTCAGCTACACAGGGAAATCTTCACACACTGTGAACAGCAGAAACATCAGGGAAGTTAACCAACAAAATCAGCATAAAACGAGTAGCGAGTCCTTTAGAGCAATTCTTCTTCGCTGTGGGATGAGGCTGGAGACTCAGCAGCACCAGAATAGAAATGCTGGTATCATAAACCTCTGCTGACTTTGCTGGTGTGGTACAGGATCTGGACTACCCAGCAGCTTCTGTTGCAGAGTAGTCCTGTGCTTGGTTGTGTCACTTAACACCAGATGTCAGACAGGTGATCCACTTCAGCCTCACAGTTTGAAAGAAGCAAGTCACTACTGTGACTGGGACAAGACATCCTCTTGGAGCTACACCAAGATCTAAATCCCTTTTTCCACCTGTATCTCAGCAAGTAAATCTGTTTTCTGGCTCAATAAACTTTGAAATGTATTTTTTCTAACAGAGATATAAGTGTTAAGGCATGAAGTATTCTCTGGTAGATTTTTCTCTAACAATACTCTCATCTGTATAAAACACTGAATAAGGTAACTCCTTTCACTTGCCACTTCAGTGACTCTCTCATGTTACCATCATAAGGAATGCCCCACCCAATCGTGGTTCTGGGAGGTGTGGGATTAAATCCCTAATAGAAGAATCCAACTGAGCCCAGATTTGCAACAAATCAAAGGATCTGAAATGAAAAAAAAAGTGATTATGAGCTTCTGCTGTATGACTCAATCTAAACCAGGAGGGAAAATAAGGCCACACCTCAGGGCATCTGATGCTGTTCATCCAGGAGTTCATGGAATTTCAAAAATTAAAAAAAAAGCCTGTGCTTTTCAGCACTTTTTGGGAAAACAAACCAACCCAAAAACCAATCACAAGCCACGATGACATTTTCAGCAGTTACAATACTTATGAACCATGAGGATGCTGAGATGCTGGAACAGGCTGCCAGAGAAGTTGTGGCTGTCCCATCCCTGGAAATGTTCAAGGCCAGGCTGGATGGGGCTTTGAGCAACCTGGTCCAGTGGAAGGTGTCCCTGCCCATGGCAGGTGGTTAGGAACTAGATGATATTTAAGGTTCCTTCCAACCAAAACCATTTTGTCATCCTATGAACAGTGCAGTTTCTAGAATGACTTCTTTCTTCAAAGTGAAATGCCAGTTAATAACTTACTATCTTGAACTTACTACTGCTCTTAAATGCACATGCATTACTGAAAGGCTATACCTATACCGGCAAGGAAGACAGCTCAACCTTGCAGAATAAGGCACTTGGTGTTAAGAATCCAACATCTAAACTGCATGCTTCAGCAGCTTTTATAACAAACTATCTGTAATTTGGTGCCACTGACTGAAAGCTTATTAACAGCTGCATTAGGTCTGCTCCCAGGGCACATTTTCTGGTTTAGTTTCGCCTGTGCTCTGCAAGACCATTCCAAATTGTGAGTCAAAGTGTATTAAATGGTGGTAGTCACAATATTTGCTTCTAAATGACAATCTTGACTCAATCTGACAGAGTAACATATAAATAAATAGAAGGTGCTGATATGACCAGTGTCACACTCAGATTCCTGTAACTCAGAAGAGTAACAGAAGAGTATTCTTTGAGCAACAGAAATATCAGGTCAAGTGAGCAAAGGGCACACCGTGTCACTTGATTTTTATGTTTTTTGAGGGATCAAGAAAATAGAAAAAGAAACATTACAAAGATTTACATTAGAGCTTACCAGACTCATAAATACATGTATATGTATATGCATGTGTGTAAACCACTCTTAAACTGAAAAAGTATCCCAGTTTTGAAGTACCTAAGATATTTACATGATTTGAATCACAACAGCATTTAAAAATCCCATTAATTTGCACTTTATGAAGGGTAAACATTAGAAAAATAATACAATGATCAAATGAGGGTCACAACCTTAGGACTCAAGCCTTTGCTATGAATATGGAAGCTTTTTGCCAATTCATGCCATAATAAGGAACAGAAAATAATTTGATAAACCCCCCACTTTTAGACAAACTGTATTACTCCTTGCTTACGCTGGTGCAGTGAGGAGTGAAGATGTAAGCGCACAGCCTGCTGTTGCCCAAGCTTCACCATGGACTGGCCTCACATATCACTGCACTGAAGCAGCAGAATCATTGCATCACAGCAACTTTCAGAACAAACAGATCACTTGTAACTTCTAAGAGATAACTCAGCAACTGCACTCTCTTATCTAGGTGTTTACTTATTCCACTTTTTGTAAGAATATCGTTTCCTGCTCAGAACCTGTATTTGGTTTAGCCTGATTCCCAACCGTAAGTTAAAAATGAAATTAAAGAACAGCTGCTGGAAGTACTGAACTGCTAGAGCTGCAATAGGGCAGGATGGAGTCCCAGGTACCAGCCTGACACCAACTCACCCCAGCTGGTGTTTACAACAGCCACCTCCCTTCTTGCGGGTGAAGCAAACAGGCTATAATAAAAACACTTAAGGGTTTACCTCCAGCTTGCAGCTCTTGCAATTCCAAACCCTTTTAAGCTAATGGTTTGTATGTTCAGTGAGAAACACATAAGTCATGCGATTCAAGGATAGCAGATTAGAAACAAAACAATCCTTACTTAACAGGTCTAATTGGATTTATAAGACCTAACTATGCAATACTATTTGTGATCTGGTTACATATATTAAGGTAAAGCAGTCAGGTTGGCCTCTGCTGCTTAGGATTTAAGTGTTACCATGGAATGTCAGCTGAAGAACTAGTGGCATATTTAAAGAGGCAACTTTCCGAGTTAGGTTTATATGTATCTATTTTAAAAACAATCATTTTGTGCCGAATTCAATCAAGTTACTTCACAAGGTATTTCACCTGTTCATGATCTCAAGTTTGGGGCCTACTGACCTCACCTCTCACACAAAGGAGGCAGCCCTGAAGAGCCTGCTACCAAATTAGAACCAACAGAAGGTGAACTGCGCCGTCCCCTCACCCAGCTCCAGGGCAGGACGTGCTTACAGTGCCTACTTCTGCCTGTGATTTAGTGGTATTTGACAGAAGAAAACCCAACAGGCCCGGCAGTTAACCTCACGGCTCGCCGCCGGCGCGGGCACAGCCCGAGGCGGGCAAAACGCGGAGGTTACGCCGCTGTCCGCTGCCGTCCGACACCGCGGGTCTGTCACGCTCATCGGATGCAGCTCGAGCCGCTTTACGTAACTTCGGGAGCGGTCACCGGGCCCGCCGTGACGTGCAGTACCGTACCGCACCGCAGCTGCACGATACGCCCTGCACGGCCGCAAGGCTCCGGGAACCGGTGGGTTTCACCACGGCGCAGGCTGAGGACTCATCGCTGAGCTGAGGCTCCCCTGCCTCGCCCGGGTAAGAGAGCTCCGTCCTCGCTGTGCCGTCCCGCCGCCCGCGCGGCGCCCCTACCCCCCGCGGCGCCCCCCATCGGCAGGGGCCGCCGCAGCCGCCTCCACACAGATGCGGGAGCTGCGCCACCGGCCGGAGTGGCGCGGCAGGGGCGAGGCCGGCCGTGCCCGGCTCGGGGCGGGCGGAGTAAGAACTCCTCTCCCAGACGGAGCCCCTCTCGCACCGCACCGCCCGCCTCCCTCCAACAGCAACGTTGGTGCCTCCTGCCCCACTCGCCCGCTCCCGCTTGCCCCTGCTCACCTACTGACCGCCGCGCTCGTCTCCTTCTGCCGCGTAACGCAGGAGCAACCCCTCCCGCTCGGCCGGCCTGGCCCGGTCCCGCCCCTCCGCGCGCCGAAAGGGAGGTGCGCGGCGCCGGAGGGGGGCAGGAAGGCGGGGAAAAGGGCTAATACCTGGGGCGCGTGGCGGCAGGGGGCGGGGTCAGGAGCAGGGGCGGGAGGGGCACACCGGTAAAGTCTGCCCTTCCCGGCAGGCAGCGCGGTGTCGTTCTTGGCTGGGGTTGGTTGTGGTGTATTTCGGGTGCTGTAGTTTCTCGGTGTCGCGGTGCCTTCTGGGACTTGTAGTCCCGGTGCGCTGCTGTGGGGAGTGGGGCACCGGCCGTCTCCGCGCGGGGAGAGCGAGGCGGAGTTCCGAAGCCGCCGGCAGGGTCAGCCGCTCCTCGCTCGAGCGGGCCCCCGCCGTGAAAGGCAGGACGGAGCTGGGAGGGATGGGGCCTGCCGGCTCCGGAGAGGAAACTCAGGGTGCTAACGTGGCTTAGCGCCATCATATGGCAGTGTAACAGATGTAGTAGTGGAGCTCCATGTGAAAAGTCAGGATAAACGTGATTAGTGAGGGGCAGATCGCTGTTCTTAAATAGTGGTGGGAAATAAACAGTGTCTTGCTGTCTCGTAGTGACCTACGTATGTGAACAGAAATATGATATTCTGGAGAAACACAGCACAATTTATCTTAAAAAGTACTTTTTATGTTCTTTCTACATCACATAAAAGCGTAACACCTACCACCTATAAAGTTCTGTTGAGTTTTCATCCAGAGGTTACCACATATCTGCTTCTCTGGGACTGTGTCCCTTTCCCCCCGGCCCCCCATTTTTGATCTTTTATTTGGAAAGTAGTTTGGTATTTTAGGGAACAGCAGCTGTGCCCACTGCCTGGTATCTCCTGTTCATGAGTCTGGATGCCATTAGATGCTTCCAGGAAAATATTGCACCTCTTGTTCAAATACTGTGCAACTGATCTGCCTGTTTATGATAAACTTGATACTTTCTGCAGGGCACGGGCACAGAGGTAATAGCATAGCAAAACTGTGCTGGTAAGGTGATCTGATCTGTGATTGCGAACAGTAGTACAGGCCTGTTGCGTTAGCCATGTCAGTATGTTCTGCTCTGGGGGCTACTGTTACCCTCAGAGTGTAATTCTTCTGCATTGGTAATTATGTTCATAGAGTCTTAGAAAATTCCTTTTTTTTGTTCTATAGTTGATCATGGCTGAGCAGTAGTATATTCTATGGGTGTTTCTACTGTAAATACTTATTTTGAAGTTTGCTACTTCCACCAAACTACTTAAAAAAATAGATATTTTTCACCTCTAGAAATATCTGATAGCTATAAACACATTTTTTTAGTTTGCTAGTCAGCTATCCTAACAGCTTGTGACATGATGTAGAGGTTAAAATGTTTGATGCCCCCCCCCCAGCAATAGTGAGGTCAGTTCTCACTGTGACTGTTAATCAACCAAGAGTCCTATCCCAAACCCTTTGAAGAGAACAGGATGTTTTTCGGCACAGTGAGCAGGTATAGGAACAAGGCATGAGGCTGCATTACTTTGGTCATTTGGAAATTCCAAGGAAGTTAGTGGGATTTTTGGCTGCTGGGGAATGTGGGCTCTCTGCCTTCACGTCACAAGGCACTATCCACCCACAAGGTTGTCAGGAATGGCTGTTGCTTTACTGGTGTGAGAGAAACTGTGCAGGATTAAGGTGAATTAAAATTGGGTCTGTGCCCCTCCTTGTTTTCTCTTTACAGTAATCCTTCCCTGTGTACTCTGGCTGTAGCAATCCATAAAATTCTTTGAGACTCTTTCTTCAGCTTCTTGTATTAAGTAGAAAATCTGGTGCTTCCACTGCAGGCTAGATGAGCCACCCTGTGGCAATACCGTGCATTTCACCTTTATTGAGTCGAAAGGACAGCAGAACTAGTTACTGCGTGTGTTTAGGGAGTGGAAACTATTAGCTGCTTTTTTTCTGCACATACTCTTACCAGGTGCCATCCATGTCCTGCCTCCATCCATTAGTTATTTGTCTCTCCACAGGATTGGCATGTATATTCTAGGCCTGATCAAAATCTGTCAGGCCATCAAAATCTGTCAGGCCATCATAATCCCTCGTGCCAAAGACATGATTTTTGCTAGTGCTAACTGGTTAGCTTGCTTGATTTAACGTTGTTTAGGGAGTAGGACTTGCAGAATCAGAAAAAACAATTAACGTCAAATAACTTTATGCAGCCTCTGTGAACTTCCCATCACTTCCTCTGCTGGGAAGATGAATACAGAAACTGCTAATCATGTAACTAGTGGTTCATCAACTCAACCTTCTGTTGTAAAAAATACATAATCATGTAGGTGAGAACTCTGCAATAATCTGCTATTGAATTAAATGCAGTTTCTGCTGTGTTAGCTGAGGCATAACACCATATGTTTTTGAAGTCACACCTGCCCTCATGATCATGTGAAACAGCAAGGGTAGATTTTTTTCAATCATGTTAAGTGCTTTAGGTACTCAAATCTCATTACTTTTCAATTGGATGTGGGCACTCAAATTCTGATCTTTTTTTGAAGAATTTAGGTATTCAATCCCATTTTATTTCAATGGGATTTGAGCCTTTCTCAGGGTACAGGGAAATCTGACTTAGAGGATATTTGTTTTATGACAGAACCACAAATTTTCTTTCTCAGCTGCACAGTCTTGAGCATTAGAAATGACGGAGTTTCTCCTAAAGGCAATTCTTTCTGTAATTCCTCCCAGGTGCAAAACCTACACAACTTTAAAGAAGTACAGCTGAATATTTTTAAAGTAGACGTAAACATTTGAACTTGGAATTTCATAAATGAGGGCATCTAGATCCTGAGCTGTAATCCTGTAATACTTTAAGGAGTTGCCATGCCATTCTGATGTGTCTCCACTTCATAGATATGGTATTAGCATGTGAACATGTCATATTTAAATACTTCCTGTGTCTGTGCAGTGCTACTTCAGCACATGTTCAGAAGTATCTTGGCTTTTAAAGTACTGAAAAAAATTGACCTTTTATACATACCTTTTGGGAGCTCCTGTCCTTGTAGGAGGAGTACTTTTTTGACTACCCAGTAGTCACAAAGGACTGAGGGAAAGGTAACAGGTGGGTTTTAAACTCCATCACTGTCTGGCTTTTTTGCAGGTTTCGTCTGATTTTCACTGATTTGGTGCTCTGTGACTGGCAGTGTTCAAGTTTACTTTGAAACCATCATGAGGCATCTCACTTATGCAGTGTAGGCTTCTGGAAGCCTGCACTTCTTGTTCGTAGTATCATGCTGAGGACTAGACTCTCCAACAAAGTCCAGTTCTTTGTTAGGTCTAGATCTTTATGGCTCCTAGGACTTTCTTCTCACTCAGGTTTTGGACTTCAAACTTGGCCTTTGTCGAAAACACTCAGGTGTGGAAGACTGATTGTCCCTTTGTCTCCTGGCTAATTACTCTTCAGCCTGGTATATTATCTTCTGATACAGAGTACACTGTCAGGTTTGTGGACAATTAAAAACTGTGAGGAGTGGCTGATATACCAGGTAATTGTGCTGCCATTCAGAGGGGCCTCAATAGGCTAGAGGAATAGACTGTTAGGAGTCTCATAAAGTTCAATAAAGGGAAATGCAAAATATTGTCCCATGGGATAACCAGTAGAGGCTGGGAACTGGCCAGCTGCAGAGCAACTTTGCAGAAATGGTCCCTGGGGGTACTGCTGGACACCAACCTGAACATGAACCAGCATTGTTCCCTTGTGGCAAAGAAGGCTAACAGTGTCCTGGGCTGCATTACAACAAATACTGCCAGCAGGCTGAGGGAAGTGATCCTTGCCCTCTGCTTAGCACTGGTAAATGACATCTGGAGCACTGTGTCCAGTTCTGGGCACTCCAGTACAAGAGAGATAAATATGGACATAATGAAGCAAGTACAGCAAGGGGCTATAATGATGACTGGGCTTGAAGCATCTGACAATGAGGAGAAGCTGGGAGAGCTGGGATTATTCAGCCTGGAGAAGAGAAAGTTCAGGGGTGTCTCATCCTTGTGCAGATATACGAGATGGGAAGTTGCATAGAAAGCCTGGAAGGAGCCAGGATTTTCTCGGTGGTTCCCAATCATGGGCAAGGGGCACAAAATTCCACCTGAATATAAGAAAGTACATTTTACTGTGAGAGTGATCAAACACTGGAATAGGCTGCCCAGAAAGGTAGTTGCTTAATGATATTTAAAACCTGACTGAACACAACCCTGTGTAAGCTGCTGTAGTTGACCCTGGTTTAAGCAGACGGATGGCTAGGTGATCTTGAGAGGTCCCTTGCAACCTCAACCGTTCTGTTATTCTGTGAGCTTAGAGGCCTGCTGTCCTGCTGTTGCTGAAGAACAAAAAGATATCAGACTCTGTTTCTATTTCTATTTTCTTAAAAGCATCTAAAAGCATCTGCTCTTGAAAGAGTATGGGAGAAAAAATTGATCTCCTCATTTGCTGTCATGTGATGAAATAAAATTGAACTCATGGCAAGTTGACAGGTAATCTTTGAATGTACTTTCTAATACTTATTTTCTGAATAAGTGTGGGTTTTTTTTTCTCCTCCTTTTTCTTCCCTGTAATCAATGTAAAAAGAATAGAATATTGTAAGAAAAAACCAGAGAGCAGAGAATAAAAATTACTGTTAATTGAATAGTAGACTACATGGTTTCTTTTCAATCTAAATACAGTTATTATGGCAGAGATTTCAGGCATTTTGATTGAGGAGTCATATTCTTGTGCGATAATGACTTCATTACATGCATTTAAAGCTTCAAGTTTAAAAATGGTGAGTTTGCTCCGAGTTAGAAGTGGTTTTAAATGTTATTTGTTTGACATCATTGAAACATTCACTCACTTTCCTTGTGGGGAAGAGGTGGTTCTTTCCTGCTAATAACTGTTTTGACATGATGGTACCCTGGGTTGTAATTGCACGTGGCAAAGCCTCTGGTCTTTTGATACAGCCTTTGTAAGATGTTTTGGTTTTCCCTCCTAATGCTCTACAGCTTACTGTTTTGTATAGCATAATGTGTTTTAGTATTGATTTGTGAGAGGTCTCAAAAGTGCTTCTTCCGCTGTGGGATAAAGATGAAACTTGGTCTTGTTAGAACATGCAGACACACAAGAGGGACTAATTCTCT